TTTTGAGCTCGGACAGAGGGGGAGGATATAACAAATTAAACAAATTAAACAAAAAAATTAAACAGGCCAATTACAAGATGATTACTGGATGAGATATGATTGGATAACAATATTACAATATTGTGATTGGCTTGTTCATTTTTGGGAGGATGGCCAGGAGGAGGGGGGGTTACGTTAACCGAAGAATCAACTTCAAATAGCCTAACTTTAGTAATTAATGTTTTGATATATTTTATAGCATTCGAAGAATATTTTAATCCATCAAAAACAACCAAAAATTGTGGATTTTGGTCTATCAAAACAGATAAACGAGGCATCTATGACTTCAAACTCGACAGTTCACAGAATGCCGGCATATATAGAACCTAAATGTCTTATCAATCCAAGTTATAAACATGATAAGAAATCTGACGTTTATAGCATTGGTGTAATTCTTTGGGAAATTTCAAGTGGGAGACCACCGTTTCAAACTTTTGAATCAAAAATAGCACTCTGCTTTCATGTATGCAAAGGAAATAGAGAAGAACCCATAGAAAATACACCGCCTCAATATATTGAACTTTACAAACAATGTTGGGATAGCGACCCTGCAAATCGTCCAGGAACAAAATGAGTTTTCAATATTTTAAAACAATTCATTGATAATAATTTAAAGCAACAGGTAACTGATGAACAATCAATTAAATAATGAACCAACTAATAGCTCAAAAAAACTCGTCGAAACTCTGAAAAAATTTAATTAGGTTAATTTTTTAAATCAAATTATTTCTCAAAAAACTTCAGATAATCCTATTCCTAATGAATCATCAACTAAAAATAATGAAACCTTTTCTTTAAATCGAGATATAAACCCACTTCAGATCACAACATCAGCTTCATTATATTTACCTGATTTATCTTTGTCTGATACAGCAAGCTCAATCTTTTTAACAGAAGAAGAAATTCCCTTTGATGAGAAAATTGAGCGACTTAATTTTTTACAGAATGAGGCCGAGCAAAGTTCTCTGAATCCAACGAAAGAGTATCTGAAAGCCTGCTTTCTCGAGTTTTCTGAAAATAGGATTAATATCTTACTTTTGGAAAATGATAATAATGCTGAGATAGCATTCTGAATGAAGTGTGTTTGGCAGGGCGTAATATTGAGGATATGAGAAATGAATCACATGAATCTTTTAACCAAGGCAAATTTCTCAAAGCGTTAGAACTTTATGAAGAAATCCTCAAGAACAGTCAGTATACTGACAAAAATAAAGAGAACTTTTTATATTAAGATCTTTCTGAAAAATGTCGTGGATCAGAAAAAATAAACGAGTTAATCAAAGCACTTTTCAAGAATACTACCTTAATGACGTTGGATTTTGGCAAAAATGATCTTAGACTAGAAAGAGGAAAAGCATTAGTTGATGCTCTTTGCAAGAACACTACCTTAACAAATTTGTTTATTATGAAAATAATCTTGGATCAGAAGGAGGAAAAGCATTAGCTGATGCTCTTTGTAAGAACACTACCTTAACGTGGTTGCTTCTTGGAGATAATAATCTTGGACCAGAAGGAGGAAATGCATTAGCTGATTTTCTTTGCAAGAACACTATTTTAACGACATTGGAGCTTCAATATAATAATCTTGGATCAGACGTCGGAAAAGCATTAGCTAATGCTCTTTGCAAGAACACTACCTTAACGTAGTCGTGTTTTTACGGAATATTACAGGTTTATTAATTAGTCATGTGCCTAAAAATAAATACATGTAATAAATGCAAAATTACAAATCATATTTCAGGTGATCCGTTGACTAAGCGTTATATAGTTCAAGTATGCATCGCCGCTAATAGCTTGATATGTATGATTTATATTTTTATGTCACTCTTTATTTATATCTTTACTGCATTGATAATACGTATGTATGTATTTTATATATTACGGCTAATTTTGATTGTGATCTAAATAGTAGAACCGATTACTTATAATTCTGGTCAAATTGCAGATCATTTGG